ATTAGATCTGAAACAAAAGAATAAACCGGAAACATCAAGTTTTCATGTGTATGTACTATCAACCTATAAGTATACAAATACTTGTCAATATTTTATATATACTTGTAGATAGCATCCAAATTAACTTGAAATTAAAGTCTAAAACAATTCCGAATCCCATTTACAAACATTAAAATACACTTATAATTACAAAATTTATTTTTTCATATCAGATTTATAAGTTTTTGTTTTTTTTATTTTCGTGTAAGTATTTAAAATAATTATGTAATATTGTACAATATGCATACATACGAGTATATACGGTATATACTGTATAAATGCAATTATGTATGCAATTTGTAAAATTCAATTGGCCAATTTTAATGTAAAAATAATTGTTGTACAACGACAGAATAGTAATAATAAAATGTTGTAAATAAGGTAAATTGGGGTAATCGTACACTTAAAGTACGATGATTTGAACTATAAATAAATACATTGTATGGAGATTAATTTGTTTTGCAGTTTCTTAGTAAATATTGGATAAAAAATTAAAATATTACGATAATTTATTTCTAAGAAACACTTATTTTCATTCTGCATTATAAAACATTGAGTCTTACATTAATATCTTTTAATTTAATTTTTCAAATATTTTGACATAAAATCGCAAATACCTTGCACGCAATCAAAAACAATGAACTCGAAAATAGACCACAAAATTCTATTTAATAATGAAATTATTGTTATAATCATTGAATAATATAATATCATAAAATATTGGTAGAAATGAGAATTTCCTTGGAGGAAAATCTACAGGTTTCCATGAAGCTGATCACTCTGAGTCTAAGATTTGAAATAGTTTATAGATTGTACTGCTTTTTTCATAACAAATTTGAAATTATCTCTATAAATCGACATACCGATGTGTAAATCATTTCGAATCTCAACAACACATTAATCAGCATTTAATTAAACAGTTACCCCATTGCACTTTACAATTGCGTTCCATTTTTATATGCAAAGCTATAACATTCATTTTTTTTTTACATTTAATGTTTTTAATATTTTATTTAATTCATCCAACTAAGTAGCAGATGATGAAAAAAAAAATTTTTTTAAAGAAAATATCAATGAGAAATGAAATTTTGCAAACGAATTGTACATGTGTAATTAATATTTAAGTTAAAAAATTAAAGTTTTAGTCACTTTATAGCACTAACTGCTTTGTGCATCACAAAATTTAGAAAAATATAATAATCAATACATTATGTAGATATATAATTTTGTAATCCTCTAATTTTTCTTAAGTTATTGTTAATTATTCTGAAACATGTTAGGCAACGGAGCACATAATGAGAATATTATGAGAAAATATAGGTAAACAAAAGGTTTTAATTTTTACATAAATTTGTTAATTATTGCAATTATAAAAGTTCGAATAATAATCTGACTATGCAAAAAAAAATTATACTTAAATTTAATTAACATATTTTTTTCATTAAAATATGCAATTTAGTATAGCCTTCTTAAATAATCTGACCAAGATATGACATCATAATTTAATATTTTAGTTTATAACAAATAGGAAAATTACGATAAACTCACTCTTACTTTATAGGTACTTCATCTATAATAATAAAAAATTTTTTTAGTTCAGTTGAATTATTTCTAAATTAGTTTCCATATTTGAATAATATTATAAATATGGCCAATCTGGAGCAAATGAGAAATCTAAACAAGAGTATTTAAAAGCATGTAATGAAGTTTGCTCTAATGATAAGGGGGCGTTGGAACAAAAATCATGACAAGGCACAATTACAATATTTCGTGTTGGGATTGGACTAACTAGGCCGCTTAGTATCAATGACTTCAGTAATCGGATCAGCAAAATGACAGAGATCTTGTCGTTCATGTTAGATGAAATATTAAACCTATTTGAGGTAGCAATGCAGGTGATTTTGTGATTTTAAAATTTTTTAAACTAACCACACAGTAAAAGTAATAATAAAAAACGTTTAAAAACAAATTTAATTAACTTTTGAATGAAACTGTAAAGGACACAGTTTTCTTTCAAATTCTTCAAAACAATATAAGAAGTTTACAAAAGCGAAATTTAATATCTTATTATTTTGCACTACAAAAGGATAACATTTTATAAATCGAACAATTTTTTTATGTTTCACTTGTTTAACAAGTTTCACATTATTCAGAAAAATGTCAACTGTTTTTGTTCTTGTGTTAAACAATTTCTTTTTAACAGAAATTATTTTGTCCCATAATAATAACCAACCTTGAATTTTTACCAAATATTGCAAAATTATTTTTATATAAATACACTTGTAATTTAAATTTTTTTATAAACTAAACTGAATAACCCTAAAAAGGATATTTTCAAATGTACAACTGAAATAATTCAGAAAAATTTCATTGTTGTATGTGCATCTAGAGTAGGTTTTTTTAAATTTTCATTCTTAAAACTAATTACAAGACACTAAAATAAAATTGATAATATTTGTATAAAGTAGTCTATACTTTTGACCTAAAAAAGCCGATATTCTGTGTGCGTTTAACAACTGCATAAATCCGTCAACTTATAATCAATTCTTTATATTTAAAGAATTTTCAATTTTTTTAGAATTCATTTAAATATATACTAGATACTTTAGAAATAAAGTCAATAAAATAATTTTGTATCAGTTATGTATTTATATTTCCTCTTTAATATTTGTTTTGATAGCCCCGATTTTTAATGTTATCATAGTGTTACGAATTTATTTGTATTTACATTTGCATTTGAAACAATGCAATCGTTGTAATGTAAAACTGATGTAGTTTTATAGACTGTTATCAAATTATTTTAGTATTGTGTTCTTCATTGCTTTAATGATGGAAATTACATTGCAACAATATGTAGAAACTAAATAGAAAACTAATCATAGGTACTCGTATTCTACGTAATGATCATTATGAGTACACAATTGTCCTCATTGTTGAAAGTAGTTGTGAATGAAAAATAGTACCATGCGAATAATAATAGCTACTGTTGTTCATTTTTAAACCAAATAAATTTTAACTTAAGTTTAATCCAAGAGCTAATCAGTTAATCTTGATATTTTCGTTCAAATTTTCTATAATAATGAACTCACAAATTTGTTCAATTTATATTCAAAAAACAGTTTTTTAAAATGATTTTAATTGCTTGTTATAGGAATTTTTTGAAAATAGCTTTCGAAAGCTAGACTATTTCAAGAGTAATGCATAAGAAGATGAAAAAATGACCACTGCCCTTTGTTTAATACAGTAAATCTCTTTAGTTACCGATACATAATATTGCACATATAAAGTAATCCAATCATAGCTTCTAAAAATTTTTATGTGTATAATAAAAAAAATCTGATGTAGTCAGCACATAACCGACCGCATTGTGTATTGTTTAGTTAAATGAAAGTGTTTCAGAATATTATAAAAATGTCTGTTAAATACTTCTTTCCAATTTTTAGGACATTAGTAAGCTTATAGTTAACATACTTAGAAAAATGTAAATTTGGCTCTTAGTAGAGTTTCGCTTTGTGCTACCCGAATTCCCTGAAATGCTCGCCAGTTAGTTCCGGTAACAACCAGAACTCAAATATCAAATTTCAAGAAATTCCATCAATTTGTTCTGTGGATATGGTGAAAAATGTAAAATCGGCCCGCAAATCAGTTCTCGAGCCCTAATCTTTCCAAAAAAGTTATATGTTCATTGCTTTAATATGAGGAATTCATATATGAAATTTCAATGAAATCGGTTGATTATTTCTCTTTATATACACAAAAGTGTATGTTTGGCCCGTAGTAAACGTCTAGTTGCCGATGCCTGATCTTTCCAAAAACTTTACATGTTCATTGTTTTAATACGGGGAATTCATATATTAAATTTCAATGAAATCGGTTGATTATTTCTCTTTATATACACAAAAATGTATATTTGGCCCGTAGTAAACGTCTAGTTGCCGATGCCTGATTTCTTCCAAAACATACGAATTTTTGCGGACGGTCGAGCTGAGCTATATATAAAATTTCAAGTAAATCGGTTGAATATTTTCTTCAAAATGTTCAAAAATGTAAAACAGGCCCGCTAAAAAGTGCAGTTACCGAGGCCTGATATATACCAAAAGTTGATCGATCCGTGCCATGATGGAAACAAACTTACATATAAAATTTCATCAAAATCGGTTCAGCCGAACTTGAGATACACGCGTGCACACACAGACCGACAGACCGACAGACCGAAAGGTTGCTAAAAATAGTTTATTTACATTTCCCTACTATGGTACGTTCCCACCGAAAACTCGATATGCAAAATTTGTTGCCATCACATAACCTACCTATTGTTTACACAATACGGTCGGTAAAAATAACAGATAGATACTGAATTTCTTATCTCCCATACATTTTTATTTTATGTTGAAAAAATCGTTTGAGAACCAAAATATGCAAAAAATTCTATTTATAAAATGCAATTAAAAGTAATTTTTTTTAGGTGTTAGTTATGAAAAATCATTAACCGATTCTTCTATATTCGATTGATAAGCAATTTACGTTTTTCTCAAATAAAATTGTAGAAAGGAGAATTTCAGCTTATATTGACACCTACTTCAGCTATGTATTCAGTTGAAATTTCTGTTTGCATAATTATCACAAAAGTTCAAACTTTGACTATATTTGTTAATATAACAAAATGGCATTTATATCATACAATTAAAGCAAAATGCTTTTAAGTTACAAACTATTAATGGGTATGTTCCTTTTAATTAAAATTTAGATTATTATATCCTCCATAGAAGACTTTCCTTAAGCAAAATTTCGTTTAATTCTCAAACTACTCTCTACTAGAACCTTTAAACTTTTTTTAATCTATACAAGAGGGGCTCATTCTATTATCTTTAAAATTTCTTATCTTATATAAATAAATATAACATTATGTGAACCCTGAAAATGAAAACTTTTTATATAAATAAAAAGTGAAAATATCTTACCGGTTAACAGAAAAATTGTTAATCCTTTAAACATTTTTTCTCATTCACAGGTATCCGTATTCTTTTCAATATCAAAATAAACTCTTATATCATTTATAATATAAATTTAAATTATTTTATTGCAAATTTTTTAATTTATTAATTGAATTAATTAATCTTTTTTGCCTCGATTTTTTTTTTGTTATTATATTTTTTAATTCAAAATCTTCTCACAGTCGTCACCTAAAAAAGAAAATTTTTTATAAATCTAAATTACATACATTTGCGTATGCATGTGTGTTTGAACATATTAATTATGTTGTGTTAACAAAACGTCATGTATCTTAAAAAAAAAATCTAAGTGATTTTTTTTCATAAACGAATTTTTAATTGCTGTTTCCACTGTCGCGTAATCAATCGCTCTTGTTATGATCAAAAGGTCATATTTACAAAAACAAAAATCTAAAATAATTTCATTTTCGCTATTTTTTTATTTGTTATTCTTTTTTAATTTTTCTCGTTTTTTATTAATTAATTTATTAATTGATGATAATGCAAGAAAAGAAAAATTATGTGCGATAATTAAAAAAAAAAATCAAATTATTTTTTTTTTAATTTTAACAATGGGCAGAAATTTCTCTTGTTATTGTTTTTGTTGCTGCCAACATAAATAAATAATTTTATATTTAAAAACGCTTAATATTTTTTTTCCACGTTTTGATTTTTTATTTTACAATTATGTAGGTAATTTTTTTTTTAAATTTTACCGCGACCGGGAAAATTCTTCTGATACGCGGTAGATTCGATAAAAGAATTCAAATAGAAATTTTCATTTTATTTATTTTTTTTTGTTATTTTTGTTATAAATATTATTTGTCTTCTTTTTGATTGTGTGTTGTGAAAATTTTCCTGCCTTTATAACGGTATTCTGCTTTTCTTTTTTTTTATAATTTCCAATTTTTTTTTTTTAAATATAGAAAAGACTCCGAAAAGCTTGAATTCTAACCGAATACTAAAAAAATGTTCTTTTGGGACATTCTGTAGAACAGAGAATGTGTATTTTAGTTAGCTAGTGAATGATACTTATAGATATCTAGTACTAGAGTGTGCAATTACATATTTGTTCGCTTTTCATTTTTATTTTAATTTTTATTTTTTACTTAGTTTTTGTATTATTTGTATTTTTTTTAAATTCAATGTTTAACAGTAGCAACAATTTTAACAAAATATATTATGTACATGTATATTTACTATTTTATGTGTATATACTATCAGAAATACATTCATACATATGTGTAGATGATTTTTTATAATATTGTTATAATATTTTGATAGGTACATATTTAAATTGTATGTAAATATAGAATATTATAGAGAATATTTAAGAGATTGTAGATGATGTTTTTTAATATATTTTGAACTGAGTATTTTATTATATTTTATTATAGATAGGTGGCTACCATAGTGTTTATCAGAAATTCAAAATAAAAAGTGTAACATATAGAAATGAAAATTTAAAAATATTTAAATGTGCTTACCTACACGTTTATTATTTGATTTTTTATGTAAATTAAAATATAATATATAGTACAGATACATATACCAGCACACACATATTACGTATAATAACAGATAAAAATAGAGGATAGAAGATCCGATAGGAAATAAGAATACATAAAATTTGCATATTTTTATATTATTATAAAAAAATCATATTTTTTGAATTGCTTTTTTTTAACTGTATTCGATTATTTCATTTTTAGAGGAAAAATTAGTGCTAAATTGCTGTATGTGTCTATTAGTTATAACGTAGCATACGTTATAACTCAAAATTTTTAACAAAAATATAAGACAGGTTCTGAAAGAAAAAAAATTATGGGAGGAAGCTAATTATATAAGTTTTTAAATAAATTAAAAAAAAAAAACAATATGTTTTGGAATTTTTTTAAGATGTTAGACCAGCAATATTGAATAAAATTCCGAACAATGTGGAAAAAAAATTTAGAGAATATTGTAGATTTTGAAAATTTTAAATATTGTTTCATATTTTTTAATCATGAAAATTAAGTGAAATATAATCCCAAGTCAAGTCAATCAGTTATCTTTGTTGTGCTGCGATCTTTTGTGAATTTCTGTTCATTAGACTTATCTCATGTACTTATGTTTTAAGCAATATTTTTATTTGTAATAATCTCTTTCAAAGTCATTTAGAAAAGACACCGGTTCGACAAAGTACGGGTGTGCATAATATGTAGCTCAGGAAATGTATATTAAAACAAATAAAGTGTTCTCTCAAATTAAAGCAAACTCTTTTCCTTTTTGATTTATTTTAAAATACTTATAAAAAAAGGTACATTGGAAAAATTATTTATTTGTTAACAGAATGTTATTGTCTCTCATTAGATATAAGAAAAACGGTAGATAATTTTTTACACATATCTGGTTATAAACCAGACTAGGTTTTCGATTACGTTGAATTAGCTCGGTTTTTTTCATGTTGAATAATTTGTAAACAACGACTTTCATAAAAACCATTTTACATGAGTCTTTTCGACTTTTGTTGCACGGTATATATGGAATACTTCGATATTGCGATAAATAGACAATACTATATGCGAATATTTAGGAATTTGAACACAACAAAAATTATGTAAAAATATATAAATAGAATAATATTAGGTCTAGAAGAATACCAAAAACAAACAAGTCCAAAAACAAACAACAAATGTATGCTCACTTAAATACTTATATATATTATAGTTGTTTATAAAACTAACTAAATTTGTATAATATTTTGGTTCCCAAAATAAAGAGGCAATATGATGGAAATACAAAATAAAGCAAATGTAAATATCAGTAACAAAGGAAAGGAGGATGCCCGCGGTTTTAAAATCGGTTATTTTTTTTTTATTCGTTTATTCCAGAGCTTTAACAAACTTCTCAGATTTTTTATTTTTTATTTACCTCCCACATTTTTCTACGTTGTTCATGTAAATATCAGTTACACAATATCTATATTATTGTACAGAGCTATATTCAACATGGTTTTTTTTTTAATTTCAAAATTTCCAAAGTTAATTTCTATAAATCTGCAAGAAAAATAGTTGTAGATTTTAACGAAACCTTTTCAATTATAAGCAGTATATTTTTCGATTTTCTAGTTCAGTAATCAAGGCATAAACTTTTGAATCAGCAAGTTTTTGACTTCCCAATTTTTCGGGTCTATCGGATGAATGGTAGTACAAAATTTTCATTGTTTTGACATTCTCATACCAACTGCGGAATAAATTATGAAAACTCATGTATCGTATGATTTTTCTAATTTAAAATTATTTATAATAAATATTGCTTGCATTAATTGACATTAGCTGATTAAATTTTTGCGTATATTCCAAGTTCACTGTAATATTTTTTTTTCTATGTTTATATATTTCTACAAACACATAGACTCTTCTCCTCACATGCCTCAAATTAGTTAAGACTAAAATTTTTCAATTCAATAGTCAAATACTTAATTAAGGGTGTCTCAATTTCTTATACCTCATTTCACAGTTATTTGCAAAGTCATTTTCGTATCTCTGTTTCTTCCTACTATTCGTATCTGATGAACTTCTATAACATCAAAAATATGGTGGTTATTGTCCTCATAAGTAAATTTTTCCCTTATTCTTAAATAAAGTTAGTTAGCAATACAGTTCAAACTTTATGCGTACTATCTATTAATAACAATAATTAAAATAAAATTGTAAATTTTTCGAAAATAATTCCCTCAAGATTTCTCCTAAATTTAATAGAAGAACGATTCAAAAAACGTTTCATTATTTAAGCCTATAAGTTTCTATGAAATCACAAATTTTACAGCGAAGAAAATATGCCATTTAATAAATCAAAGACCTGCCTGGCATTTTTTTTTTTCCGTTTTATATATTATGACCACAGGTAGAAAATATTGAATGAATGATGTTTTTAATTTTAGAAACAAAAATTTACCTAAAATTAAGGGTATCAAATTTTTCTACAAATGAACATTTTAAACATAGTTACCTGAATTTCGAAAATGAAATTTTTAGAAATCTACCTGAAATTACCATTTTTATCTTTATTTAGAAGGGAAAAATTAATTTTTTTATACCTATAATGGAAATAAGCTTGCCTATGATTATTGGATATTTACTATCTTCAAATTAAATTCAAACATTTTGATATTTTTATATAAAATCTTTATTTAAAACGAATTTGTTAAAACAGTTATTGGTTATTCCTAATATTACGGCTATTTCATAAAATGAACAATGTCCTTGTTACATAAATCATTTATAATAAGATGTTGAGGAGCAATTACATATCATGCAATTTTTTTACTCATGTTGAATTTTTTTACTCATGGTAGTTATGTGAATAATATATGTTTAATAAGAAACTATTACGTTAGTACATATGTCTTTATAAATTTACACTACCAAAAGTGATAACTACTGATAAATTTGAAATGTTTAAAAGTAACAGAATAAGCTAATATTAAAAAAGTAACGGATTTACTAGATAAAGAACCGCTACTAATATCTTTTGTGTTGACGTTAAATTCACAATAGTGTTTTCAACAATTTTAATATTTTTAGCTCTCAAGCAATTTGCAACGATAAATTACAAAATTCTAATTATAACTATAATAAATTAATAAAACAAAATGTTAAAAATAAATTTTATAAGTTTCTTATTATTTGTAAAACAGCAATATGTATTCAAATTTAAAAATAATTTTTAATATTTTCGTTACTTTAGTCAAAATGAGAATTCAAAATAGATAATTAGGAATTTATGGAAGGTTCTGGAATCTGAATGGATTCCCAATTGACATATGTGTAAAAATTGGTTATTGGGTTAAGTAAAAAAGTAAGATAGATAATTGCCGGTTATATTATTCATAAGATAAAGTGAATAAAATATATTTTAATTGTCGATAAATCGAGTTATAAAAATATCGAAATAAAACAATCGAAGATTTTCACACGCGAATTTTTTAGAAGCAAATTAAATAAGGAAATTAAAATATTTAAATAAAATACTTGTGTAATATAATAAAATAAATAAAAAACTGATTTTCTCTGTTGGGAGCGATTCCAGTTGGGGCATCGCAATAACATCTTTATTTCAATTAGGAGAATTATAAAATTATAAAAATCTGCCGAAGAAAGAAAAAAAATGGCTGATGACTTGACTGTAGAAGTTTGTCGGGACAATAGATCTTTTTATAAGGTTTGCAATTTATTATTCATAATAAAATTATTTTTTGAATTAAGTTGATACAATAAAATTTGGTTTAACTTTGTGAAATTTTAATATATAATGATGTTGAGTTTTCTTCTACGAAATGAACGAAGATATTTTTTTTATAATGCTGAATTTTATAATGTATAGAATGAAATTTCCTGCATTATATACGTACCTATTTAATAGAGAATATATTCTGGGGGGATATTTTTGGACGCCGCCATAACCCCTGTTTTGACAGAGCGTGAGAATACGCCTCGTGTGTGATAAGGAAGAATACTCAACAAAAATTTAGGAGAGAAAAAAATTTGATCTATATTTAAATCTATTAAAAATTTCAATTTTGATTCATAAAATACATGTGGTACTAATAAAAAAAAATAGCTCTATATTCCTTAATGTATTCGTTTTTCTTCTTTTGTTTCAGGGAGTTGTTACTGATGTTGTGGAAGATGGTCTAGTGGTAGTACTTGATAATGAGTAAGTTAAAATTATTCTTAATACAATAAGTAAATTTTTTTTCTTAAAAATATGCCAAAAGATCAATGAACTATTTTACATCCTATTGCATAGATTTCAAATAATATAATTACCAAAGTAAAATTTTGTTTACATATTAAAATTAAATCCATTTTCGAAAAAAAAGAAAAATTAAGTAATTTACAATGATGTAATTTCGTTTAGGCAAATAAACAACAACAAAATTTTCCATTTTTTCTAAGTATGTTTAATATTTTTCAAAACAACTTCAAACAAACGCTTTTTTGCGATTTCAGCAATTCTCTAGAAATAGTTCAGTAATTTCCCTTCTAAGATACGTTTTTGTTTTGTGATTATAAAAAATGACGGAGTTCTTAAAATGTCGCCTAATGTAAAAATGAATTTTAATTGAGTAATTTATCAGAAATTGAAGGCATACTACAACTTCTTTCAAATTAAAACTAAAGATGTTATATGTAACCGTCAAAATGTTGTAAATCAATACCTGAATAGTTTAATATTAAAAAAATAAAACGTACAGTGTTCTAATATATATTTTTTCATTAACAGTTATGGCAACGAAGAAAATTACTTATTTTCGCAATGCCGATTTCCGCCAGAAGCAGAACCAGAAAATGGACCACCTTTTGAAGAGGGTATGGAAGTAGAAGTTTACTCGAGATCCAACGGTCGAGAGGCCTGTGGTTGGTGGACGGCAGTTATAAAAATGTTGAAAAATGAAATTTGTGCTGTTTGCTATTGCGGTTTTGAGAATCCTTGTACGGAAATTGTCGATCTTAAACGTGTTAGACATAAAAACAATAACCCATTATTAACGACAAAAAGTTTTCATAAATTTGAAATTGTTGTTCCTGAAGAATTGCGAGAGGAGTAAGTTTTAATGGCACAACCTGATCTTTTTGTTTTCTTGAAAAAAAAAAAATTATATTTTTTGTGTTCTGCAGGGCCAAAGAAGATGGAGTGCATAAAGATTTTCAAAAGTCAATAATGGCTGGAATCTGCCGTTACATACCTGAACGAGGCGTTCTTAGCATCATATCGAAGCACGAAATTACAACTAAAAGAGCAAAAATGTTACAGGATATGCATTTCAGGAATTTAGCTCAAAAGGTATTCGTTTTTAATATAAATTCAAAAAGTTATTAAAACTAACGTTTAAAAACTTAGGTAATGCTTTTGAGAAGGACTGAGGAAGCTGTGCGGCAATTAGAATCAACAAAACTCCACAATCAAGGGTAAATACTTTTTAAATGTAAGAATGTTGGGCAATATTTAAAATTAAAAATATTATAGCTTTATGGATGAGTTTAAAGTACGGGAAGATCTAATGGGTCTCGCGATAGGAGCTCATGGTACTAACATACAGCAAGCTAGAAGCTTAGAAGGTGTTACAAATATCGAACTAGAGGAAAAATCTTGTACATTTAAAATAACCGGCGAAACAGAAGAAGCAGTAAGAAAAGCCAGATCAATGTTAGAATATGCGGAGGAATTTTTCCAAGTACCAAGAGATTTAGTCGGTAAAGTTATTGGAAAAAATGGCAGAATTATACAAGAAATAGTTGACAAAAGTGGCGTATTTAGAATCAAAGTATAAAAAGAATAAAAAATAAAAGAATTGAAATATAGGATATCCATTTTTTTCAGATTGCTGGTGATGATGAACAAGATCAAAACATACCGCGCGAATCTGGTCATGTACCATTTGTTTTTATCGGAACTGTTGAAACAATTTCAAATGCAAAAGTACTTCTAGAATATCATTTGCGTCATTTAAAAGTAAGTAATATTATAAGTATAGATTTCTTAAGCTATAGGTATTTCGAACTCAAAATGCATAGTTAGAAAATTATAACGTGTCGAAGAAAACACTGCAGAAACTTTATTTCGTAATTATTTATTTTATATATTGAAAACTTTATTTTTTATATTTCTCTGCCTTAAAATTGAAGTTTTCTGTTAGAAAAAATCGAAAAATTTTTTTCTATAAATTAGGATAAATAATATTATATATTTGCTTAGAATTATAAAATTCTATAATGAGAAACTACTGTTTTAAATGATTGTGGTTTAAGATAAGCCACCTCGGACGATTAATTTTGTTAAATGAATTTTTTTTTAATTTATTTAACATTACTATTAAATGCAAAATAAGAAGGGAAAATATTTTCGTCTTTCAATAAAGCGAACAGCATAAAATCAATTCCTCTTCCTTTTATCTTAAAATTAAAATATAGGAACTCAAAGTTTAAATTAAACACTCTCAAACTCTTGTACACCTTCAAAAAAAGAATAAAAAAATCTCATTTAATTTAAATTTCCCTCTCTCAAAATTCCTGATTTAATTTTATTTCCTTTTCACAAAAATTTAAATTTCCTTCGATAATAAATCAACAATAATGAACGACTTGTAAAATTTGAAACACATGCCACTAGAAATAATTTATTATAAAGTAGTTCTATGTTAGTATTCAACGTATAATTTTTAAAGGCACATTTTGTGGTATTCCATTGTGTTACATATATTACACAGAAAAAATATTTCATTCTTTTATCGTGTACAAAGAATTATAACTTTTTAAATTGTAAAGATTGTAAAATTTGAATGATTCAAAGTTTGATTTAGTCAATGTTAAAAGGTTCTTTTTAAAAAAGCAGATGCTATTTCTAAAAATTTTAATATTCGGAAAATTACAAGATTATTCATTGATTTGATTATTACAGCTTCTTATAGGCTCATTGGCATTAAAAATTTACCACTATATGATGTAAATATTAGAATTATAATTCTAAGCAAGCGGTGTGTGTATCAGCGTATCCTTTTATTTTCCTTTAAAAACAAAAATTAAAAATTTCATTAATAATTATGCTGTTTCGTTGATTCATTTAACAGATGATTTTCCAAAAAGATATTTTATAAACAGTTTTTTAGTATGTACATATATGTACATATACATATATGCATATTATTTATATACGTATGGACTTTTATTGTGTTAAATGTACATATTTTATGTGAACAATTTAAATTTTGCATTTTGAAAGCGAAACCCTTTCGTATTTAGAAAATGACTAGCAAATTTTAAAGAATATCTATTCCAACAATAATTTTATGTACATAAAAAATGTAAATTTTATATTTCAGGAAGTTGAACAGTTACGTCAAGAAAAATTAGAAATTGATCAGCAATTAAGAGCTTACCAAGAGTCAACAATGGGTTCAATACAAAATTTCCCAGTTTCGAGGAGGTCAGAAAGAGGTTATAGTAGCGACATGGATTCAGTTCGTTCTGGTAGAGGCGGACCACGCGGTCGTGGACGAGGTCGAGGTGGTGGTGGTGGCGGCGGCGGAGGTGGTGGCGGTAACCAACGCTATTCGCAGGGTAATAATAATATGCACAATAACAGCAGTAATGAGCATAATTATAACAATCATAATGAAAATGTTCCCCAGAGAAAATATAATAGTAGAAATGGTGTCAATAATAGTGGAGGTGGTAATAGTATTGGCAATTTAGGAATAGGTAATAGTGCCAGTGGTGGAAGCGGTGGTAATACCAATAGTAACGGTAGTGGAAATACTGGAGGGAGTAATCAAGGTGGGAGACCCAGTAATCGATCCAATAGAGGATCCTATAATGAGAGAAATCATAATAACACTAACACTGAAAGACGAACATCGCGTCCCCCAGTTTCCATGAATTCTAAATAGTTTAATATAAAGTCAGGATTACTGCAGATTTATTAATTTACATTTCTCTTTTACGTTTAATGTCGCAGTATTTTCAACAATTTCAGTTTGTAACAAAAAAAAAAAAACAGAATTACATTTTGTTACGCTTCCAAATTATATCAAAATTTTCCTATGCAATATTTTTCTAAGTACATAATTAAAATTTTGTATGACAATTATATTATTTAAATTAAAAATTATGATGTTTAAACCATCATAAAAGAGGAGACCAACGACTTTTCGATAATCTGCTACAATGAAACTAAATCAAAAAAAAGAAAAAACTGAAACTTCCTAAAATTGAACCAAACTTCCTTTAAAATAATATTTATAGGGAAAATAAAACAAAAATAATTTAAAAAGTGGGGACGTGATTATGGCAGTAACTTAACTCAAAAATAAATGCAAAATAAGACTGACCCGGCTTTGGAATATGATACCCAAATCGACAAAAGAATTTAATTAAAAAATAAAAACAAACAAAATACATTTTATTATTTTAATGAAAAGAAAAGAAAAATATATTAAACACTTCTATCAAATTTTCAATTCTAGAGAGAAATATAGAGAACTTAAATTTGATCTAGAACTATAGAGTTTATAATATTCATATAAATAGTACCCAAACATTAAAATAATTAGTAAATAATCACAACACTCTAATTGACATGAATGAAGAATCATTTAATATGATTTATTTTTCAGTTAGCCTTAGATTATTATGAAAAAAAACTATAAAATTTTAAACTGACACTGAAACAAAACAAAATATATACATATTGTCTATATTATATTGAAATTAATAAAATTTTTGCTATTACAATAAAGTTTGAAATAAAAATAAAACAAATTTTCTTGCTTATAATAAAACAATAAAATTTCACGCATAAACAATTATTTTTGTAGACAGTAGAAAATTTAATAAATTTTAATTGTACTTTTTGGGGAATATATAAAATTTATACTATTTAGACTAACTTTAAAATTACTACTATTTTTTGAGAACTATGTTGATTTTTTCAATTGATTTTTTATTAATCCTTTTATTTAACACAATTTCTTTATTAATATCTTTCTAACAATGTTAATGATTTAAAAAGAAACGATATATGTTTAAATATGTATTTAATTATAACTTAAACCGAAAAAAAAAAAAATCCTCTTAAAAAATATTGTTTAATTAATTTAATTACAGTTTTTAATTAACTTTTTGTTTTTTGGTAATAACTTGATATTTAATATTAATACCTTTGATGAAAACAAAAGAAAAAGCTGAAAGATAACATGCATGACGACTTATGTACTTTAATATAAAGAAAAGTAGATATTAAATTTTAATATACTTAAAGATTTTAAATTATTCTTTCTTAAATTATATTGTATGTAGATAATATTCGAAAAAGAAAAAACATCATAAATGACAGAAAACATTTAATGTCGAAAACAACCTTTTTTTTAATGATTAAATATTGAAATTTGATTTTAACGAAAAATTTCTAAAACACTCCATTATTCAAAATTAAAAAGCCATCTTTAATAACGAAATCTTATAAATATTTTAAATATGAAATGGAATGAAAATATTTTCTCTCTAAAAAATTGCTATTTTTCTTTCTTTTTCTATTTTACTAACAAAATTACAAATTAAAATAATTAATATTAAATATTTGATGTAGGTTTAAAATAAAGCAAATGAAATTTAGGAGTATTATGAGAAATGAATTTATCAAACAGGGCTCTCAACTAAAGTAATCAATGCAATTATTTCGTTTTCTTTATATAGAAATTATTAAATGTCAGTATTAAATTTTAATAATTGTATTATGATATAAAAATAAATTTTATTTGCATTTTAAAATAACTTCAAAAAGTATTTAATATATTTTAATATATATTCAAAATTAACTTGCGCTGAGATCGAAATTGTATATAGTTATACTGTATAGATGCAGAATTCAATTTGTCAATATTGCTGAATTGATAATTTTGATGTCAGGGTTATTCCAATATACTTCCAAGATATTTTTCCAAAGTATTAAATTTGTTGTTAATTATTTCAGATATCAAAAGTTTAAGAAATTTAATTAAAAATAGTGCTTACATTGATATAAAAGAATTTTAAAAATTAACTACAATTCATAAAAATTTCATTAAATTCAAATATAGCAAATTATGAATTTAATTTTTAAAAATGAAAATTGGAAAGGAAAACTTTAGTTTTAACTTTTCTATGAGTTCTTAAAAAAATTCAAAAACCAAATTTTCAATTACAAATTTTCTATAGAATATCTAATAATCAACATTTATTTTATTAGAACCGTGTAAATTTTTTTCTTTCATTTAAAATATTCAATCACAAAATCATTTAGTAAGAAAAGGCGGAATTCTTTTGAATAATTAAAATTGTTAAGTTTATTTTGCATTTTTCTTTTGTTTTTTTTGTTTTATTCATTAGTTTGGTAATTATAATCAATTAAGTAACTAAGTAATATCTTAACTTAATTCTTACTTTTCTTTGAACTGTAGATGCACTTTTTACATAACATACAAAAATAAGTTTATTATAATTTTATATCCATCGATATACATATACATATATTAATACATAAGTATATTGTATATAACAAAACTAGGTATTAAAAGAAAAACCTTTAATAAAAAAATTTTTATTGGTGCAAACACAATTTAACTAATTTATAAAATTTAAACAACTTCATTTTGTTTTTTGTTTTTTTCTGTTAATTTTTCATATATTTAAAGTAAAAGTATACATTTTACATTTATTTATTTTACGCTTGCACTGAAACAAAAAATATAAATATGATTGTCTTTAAAATTTGAATTATCAATTACGTATTTTTAAATAAAAATTTGCTAGCGAAAATAAATAAAAAATCAAAAATTAAAAGTAGTTTTAATTGTTATCCAAAAAAAAAAACAAAAAAAAACATTAAACATAAAGTCAAAAATAAAATAAAAAATAAATATTTTTTTTTTTGAATATGAAGAAAACAAAAAAAAAAACTAAATAAGAGAAGAGTAAAAGATTAAAAGTAACTATTAAAATTTTACCACTGAAATTAAATATAAAATTATACAAAAGAATTTTTTTAAATAGAGGATCAATTGAGTTAAAAATTATAAAAAAAGGAAAAAAAAAAACAAATTTTAGATTATGAAAACAGAACAAAAAAAAAACTTAACTTTATCAAATTTCTATTTAGCAATTTAAATATTAAAAGAAAACGATGAGTAAAAAACTATATGCAAAATTACAAGATTATAAAAACCGGAATTCAGTACATTAATGAAAATAAAACAGACGGAACTTTCAAATTCAATGAAAGAATATACAAAACAATCATTTCCATTTTCCAAATTTAGTATAGGTAGGCAACTTATTTAATTTTTCGGTATTTGAAATTTATTGTTATTTTGTAGTTATTAACTACTTTGTAATCACTTTTCATGGCCCTAAGTTAAATAAATTCTCGAATCAGAGAATAATCCTCAAGACTATAACAATTATATTATCCTTAAGTTTAAAATTGCATTAATATTTTGTTAGTACACAGATCAGCTTATAAATTATAATTGCTGAATTAAATATTAATATCATATTTCTGCAATTTTGAAATCAAAATATTTTAATATATTAACAAAAATAAAAAATTTCAACTTATTACAAATCAATTATCATTTTTGTTTTTGCGAATTTTTGTTAATAATAATAAAAATTAATATTTTGCATTTATGAACAAAATACTTATGCTTAATTCTTAATAAAGTTTTTTTTAAATAGACATACTAATTAGCTAAGCATATTATAATACAAATTTAATTTAATAAACCAAATGGCTTACAAAATAAAATACATAATTGAAATTTGGAAGTGGAAATGAATATTCTCCGAATATTTAATTTTAATCAACTTTAATAAAAATAATTCAAAAATAAAACCACTGTAAATTATTTTGTTTTAAAAATTTTTTATATATTAATTATTATATATTATGAGAAAAAAAAAACTAAGTAAATAAGAAAATATTTAAAAAAAAAAAAAAATATTTACAAAAAAAAATCTGAAAAAATAATAAAATTATATAAAAAAAAATTAACTAAAATCGTGTCATTTCTAGTGTCTAACAACAGGCAAAATGTTGTGCCCTTTTTTACAAAACAAGAAAAAAAAAAAAACAAAAAAAATTTGGAAATAAAACGAGAATCGAAAAAATTCTTAGTATTGAATAGAATTTCGATCAGTTGCTTTTTAACTTTACTACAATTTGTTACTTATTTTTTAAGAATAATGAATGACAACTAAAATGACAATTGAAATTAAATTAATAATTAATTTCGTTTAGATATTTTTTTAAGTTTTTTTCTTTTTTGAAATCGGGGCTGAACATTTTGTCCGGACACTACGAAATGGTTTCCGGATAGATTTCAAACTTTAAAAAAAAAAAAATTTTTTTTTTTATTGTTTATTTTTAAAAATAATGAAATTAAAATTAAATTTATAAAATGTTATTATTATTTTAGACAAACCTTTGCAAAACAAATAATTAATTATGCAAAAAAAGCAAAGACTAATTTATTTTTGTTACTCTTAAAAAACAAGTAGTAATCGTTACTTTTTCTAAAAAAAAACAAAAAAAAATTAATTAAAAAACGCTAATTAAATTTAATTTTAAAATTCAAAAAGTCAAAAAAAGGGCCCAAGTATTTTACCTTAGAAACTTTTTTTTTCTCCTTTCTTTTCCCAAATATTTTGTACATATTTTTTTTCATTTGTTGCTGGTCTTGCTAAACTAACATTGTAGAAACATTGTGATTTTATATAAATGAATCAAGTGGGAAGCTATCAATAGATTTTTATTTCTTTTGGAAATATGAAGAGCACATATATTATTAAATTCATTTGTGAATAGCGAATTTTCTGATTTTCGAAATTCCAAACCGAAATTCTTCGTTTCACTTTAGTTTCCTCTTTTCTCTTTGTTTACAAAATATAATTTAAGTTTATCTTCTTTTTTCCTTTGATTCTTTCATTTTATATTTTAAATTGTTTGTGTATACTTTAGCACGTCGCAATAATAATAATAATGAAGAAGACGATTACAATTCTCGTGGGGATCATTCAAGAGGATATTCGGAAAGAAGTGGTAGTTATCGCGGTGGTGGTGGTGGAGGTGGTAATGATAGACGTGGTGGTAGTAGAAGACCAGAACGTCGCAATAATGATCGTAATGAACGTATGATTGATTCTAATGGAAAAGAGATTTATAATCATGATGATCATAATCAAGATAATCGTGATATGAGTAGCGTTGAAAGGGGTAATATTTCCTTTTATAACCAAAATATATTTAGAACAAAATTAAAATATATAAATTTTTTTAATTAAAGCTGAGAGTCATTCGTCTACTGAAGGAGCTAGTTGTAGAAGACGTAGAAGGCAAAGAAATTCTGGTCAGAATGGTAAGATTTTATAAATAAAATAAAATAAAAAATAAAATATGAAGTATACTATTTTCTAAAATTAAGTTGAAATTTTAGCTAACAGTAATATAAAGCAAAGAAATCTAGAAAAACAAAATCAACAACAACCAATAGAAAATAATAAAAATTCAAGTGTTAGTGGTGGTGGTGGCGGTAGTGCTGGTAACACAGGTGGTAACGGTAGCAATGATAACGGTAATGAAAGAAATCAAATCCAAAAAGAACAAATACAGCAATCACAACAACCACAACAGCCACAACAACAGCAACAACAACCACAACAGCCACCTATTAATGGTGTTCCATTGAAAGAAAGAAAACCTCGTCGTTCTAAGAGCAATAAAAATCAACCATCTGATTCAACTAATAACGATAATAGAAAACCAGAACTTGTCAATGGAACATCTTAAGATTTAAAGAAAAATAAAATTTAAACTGAACTCTTCGTTTTTATTTTTTATAAAATATTTAAACAAAAAAAAAAAAAAGAAAAAAAGGAAATTTAAAAATGATAATTAATAATAATTATTTTAATTAGAATGAACAAAATAAAAAAAAATTAAAAAAACAAAATATTAAAGAAATAATAAATTTGTTTTTAGGCTTTTATAAAGAAAAAATGAAAATATTAAAAAAATAAAAAATTAATTCATAAATTGGTATATTTATATATATATACATATATATATATATATGTACATATGTACATGTACATAATTATACATATATATATATATAGATATATAGATATATAAATACATTGAAAATTAATTGAGTAGCATGCATTGATTTAGAAATGTATCAAAAATAAATAATATAAAAAAATTTAAACAAAACTTTAAAAATAAAAAAAAAAAGTTAAAAATTTAATTTTATAATTAATTAATAACAAAAAGCAAAAGTCAAAAAAAAAACAAAAAATGGATAAATGTTCGTTATGAATTTTTTTATCTACATTAGATTCCCAATTATATACGTCATATATAAATGGTTTGTTGATTTGTGTTTATTTGAAGCTCAGCAATTAGTAATTATCGTGTACATTATACATATATACAAATATATATATTTATAATATTTCTCCTAATATACAATCTAGTTTCGAAATTTCAAGTATCCCTAATATCTAAATTGCAAGTAATACTGTATTGCTACATAATTAAATTTATAAGTGCTAATTTGTAGAATTGTGCAGTAATATAGAAAATTATTCAAAATTGGAAGTCAGGATACTTTTAAATCTCTTCGACATTAATTACAGTTTGAAAACATTCTTCAATTCAGAATTTTTAATAATATAATTAGTAAATTTTCTAGTAAAATCATAATATTGAATTTTTTGCTTCACCAAATGTGTCTCAATTGCTATATTCTGTATTATTTTCTATGATGACAATCTATGAAATTCAATAAAAATTACAAATAGAATAAATCGTTTTTAAAATCTTGACAAAATAATATTGCCTTTATTTAACTTGAATCAAGATCTATTCATATCATGTTAATTTGATTTGAGACTTTATTACTAAGAAATCCTTCCCAGAATGTTAATTAATATTCATAAGAATTTTAAAGTACATACAAAAATATTCTGGAATATAAAAAATAAATTTATTTTTGAACATTTATCTATTTCAAATTTTTATCTTATTTCTTGTATATTTTTTTTTTGTTTTAAATATAAAAATTAAATTAAAAAAAAGGAAGAAAACGAATAAGAACACTAAATTATTTTTCAATTTTTCTTGTAAGCCAGTCTCTGTAACATTATGGACAACAATCCTTTGTAATTGAACTAAATAAAAAAAGTATATTTTCTACTTTTTATTATCATTATTATTTTCTTTCGGCTATCAAGACCGACTCTTGAATACAGAAATGAATTTTTTTAAAAATATTATCATTATTTTATATTAAATTATGTACGTATATTTTTTTTGTATAATGTACATTTATATATTAATCAAAATGAAATACATTATATTCGCCGCTGCGCTTACAATGCCATTATTTAATTATTTTCATTTAATTATTAATTTATATAATTATTATATATTTATATACGATTTTCATTAACATATGAACATATGAACATTATAGCAATAAATGTATAATAGAATATATTTCTGGTTTGAATTTTTGCTAAAAAAAATTAAAATATACTTATATGTATGTATATACTTTACATATTTACATTTTTTTTTCTTTTTTCTTAATTTTTGTTAAAAAAATATGTAGAAGTGAAATGTTAAAAAAGAACGAAAAGAATCAAAAATTGCAAAATCTCGTTTTTTTTTAATCTTATTTTATTTCAATATTTTTCCTACTTTATGTATTGATTCTGAAAGCTTTTTCTATATAAACAAAAATAAATAATTAAAAAACAAAATATGAATGTACGATTATTAATTAATTAATTAAAATATTATTATTTTTTTTGTTAATATTATGTAATTTATTTATAATTTTAGTTTTCTTATTATTTTTTTTTATTTTATTATTTTTTTTTATTATTTGACATTTATAACAATGCGCTTTTTTCATTATTTACCTTTTTTTTTTAAGATTTAATAAAAATTAAAATAAAAAAATAAAAAGATATTAAGTTAATAATAAAATAAAAAAAAAAATTGAAACAATTGAAATTGTCTATAATTTTTTTTTAAGTATTTGAAAAAATTTGTGAGAATATTTGACACCCAATGTCACTGTACGCGTTACAACAGAGTCCCATTTATAATTGAACACAAATTAATTGACATTGAAACAAACCGTTAATATTTTAACAGTAATTTCCTTCCCGAGTTTGTTTCACAAGCTTCTTTCCTAAATCAACAGAAATGCATTAATTTCGGGTATATTGTGTGGCATGACAATTTTTCTCTTTTAAATTATTATTTTTGTTCTACTTGTGTGAATATTGTAAATTTTTATTCAATTACATAATACATACGAGTATTATTTCAAAAAATGGAAGCAACGTGAAAGTTTATAGAAATAAAGCCAGTCTCAAAACATTAAATTAATTTGTTACAAACTTCAAAATCGTTTGGGAAAATGTTGCTAAATTCTTTGGCATTAACATTAAATGCTAAAAGAGGTATCTTAAATTTTGGCTCGATTTATAATTATCAGGGGGTTTTCGTTTATTCAATTTTAGAATAGTTCTAGCTTGTAGCACGTTTGAAAATTTACGCTACATACACTAAAAATATAAATCGTTCGAAAATTACTGGCTGCGATAAAGTGCTTTCGAAAATTCAATCTTTAATAAAGATATGTCAGAAGTGTAGCGCAAACCTTTAGTTTAAATTTTGTCGCTGCCTTCTGAAACTTTTCCAAATTTAAAATTCAAAAAAATTTTAAATTTCAAAATGGCTGATTCAGATATTGAAATTTGTTTAAATTTCCATATTTTGCAGTGAATTGGAGGGTGAAAAGTATTGCGGTACTATTTCATAAACAATGTCATTTCTGTTATTTTTCATTGACAGATTATTTAGAAGTTTCAGAATTTGTAGACTGTGTAAACTAAAAAAACTTAGCTGAAGTTTTTGCATACTGTTTAACGCTGCGCCTTAAAATTTTTAGTTCTAATGCAGAACTTTCAGCGCAGCGTGCATAAACGAAAACCCCCTTATTTTAGTTGTACGGGTTTTTTTTTCAGTGAAACTCAAATTTTGTTTTGTTCTTTAATAGGCTTTTATTTTCTTGGTTCATTTGACATACCTTTTTATAAAAACTATAAAAACTTATTATAAGTAAGTGTGTATAAATGTGTTTCAAAAGATATGCACTTAAAGTTCTAATTCAAAATTAAAATCTTTTTTCCATAATTACAGATCTACAGGAACTTATAAATTTACTTTTTCAGATTTTTAATATCTTACTTGTTTTTCGTCTGATTTTTTTCAAACTTAAAAAATCTATGTAGCATCAAATAAAAATCTTTAAAAATGCTTTAGAACGCGATTCTTATGGATTAGATAATATCAAACATGCTTTATGTTAAGATCATAATTACAACTTAATTTTCCTCGATTTTCAAATACTAAAAACTATTATGAAGCAATAAAATTTAAAATTTTAAAATTTATTATAAAAGAAAATTTTCAAGTAAAGGAAAAAATATTAAATGTTAGTTAAAATATACTTTGAAATTGATTTTATAAGGAAACAATTTAGAATTTCACGACACACAATATAATGTGGGTAAGTTTGTTATTCTGTAATAGTGTTTTATCTCAATGGTAAATTTGCAAATATATTTTTCTTCTATAAGATGGGCAAAATATTTTTCATGCTACATTCGTTAGATAGTTTCACATTTCCAAAAAATAACATCTATGATAATAAAATAATTTTATATTTGATATTTTTATAGTTTTATTAATTTCAAATTTAATAATTTAAAAATATACTTTCCTATTTCAGTTGCCAAGAATTATTGTATAAGTATCATTATATTCATTAAAATCTTGTATTTGGACATTGTGTGAAAGTGAAAGGAAAACTCTTTGAATTCTATAAATAAAATTCTATTCATAAAACAAAAAAAAAATTTATGATATCTTTTAATGAAACGGATGAATTCCTCACATATTTTTATGAATATTTTGTTAAATATGCGAATATATACTTTTAATTTGTTGATAAATAAATGAAAAGCAAAAGAAAAATACAAAATATTAAAACAAGAAAGAACAATAAAAATAAATTTCCGGCCCAATAAAATAATTCATAAAATCTAAAAATAGTTAATTTTTTTATTATAATGTGCATGTTAATAAAGTAAAAGCTATCGTTGTTAGTAGTCATAGCTCAAAAAATAATTCTTAAAAAGTTTAAAAAAAAAAAATTTAAATTCGGCTCAAACTAATGTTAGTTAGGGAATATTTTTCCCTCGCGAACATGTCAAAACATATTTTTAAAAAGAAAATCTAGTAGCTGTTTGTAACTGTTTATTTATTTATTTACATCTGATGTTGCTTACACAAAGATTCGTTAAGACATTCGTTACACACTTGGCTTAAAGGTTAACATTATGTTTATCCACTAATTTTGTAAAAGCGAAAAGAAGAATATGAATGAAAAAGGTTGCGTAGTTCTTGTCACATAGCCTAAAAAGTTAACAGAATAATGTATATTGCCTATGTTAACGAAAGTGTTACAGAAGATTATGAAAATACCTTTTAAACACTTCCTTTCAGTTGATCAATTCGTACCATAGTGAAAATAAACTCACACATAAAATTTCATCAAAATCGGTTTAGCCGAACTTGAGATACACGCGCGCACACAATATCAGACAGACAGAGAGACCGACAAACAAACATCTCTCTAAAATTAGTTTATTTACGCTTCGCTATTATGGAGAAATGCATTCCCATCGAAAATTCGACATCCAAATTTGGTGCAATCCAAAAACCTTAATAATTGTACACAATGCGACCGGAAAAGTGTTGATTATCTATAAGAAAACAAGAACTTTTTCATCGTGTCCTTTCTTAGTGTGAAATCAAGTGTGTTCTTGAACTTTTTACAAGACGGGTTCGTGTTTCCCATAATAAGTTCTTTGAAACGGAACTACAAAGCAATCAGGAAAACGAGACCTAATCGGAGAGATCAAATCAGATTCCTTAAG